GAGAAGAGTAGGGACAGAGAGCATGGAGACTGTTCAGGCACAAGGGCTGCTTTGGGAGCAGATCAGGTTGTTCAGGAGATTATGTGAGTTCTTATAGGCACTGTGAGGCACATCTGCTCGTGAGCAATTGTTCCCTGCATTGTTTATCTATGGCTGTGGGAGGTGACTCTGTCTTGGAAAGCTGGAATTTCCTGCTCTGTGTATTTTTAATCCCTAGATGCTCCTGTGAGACTGGAAGTATTCCTAGGAGACAAGGGAATGAAGACCTTTTCCTTTCCAACCATAGCTTTTTGTGAAACAAACAAGCTGCCAGTGTTTGTTTTCCTATTCAGGACCAGTTTATCAATAAAGCTGAGGGAGTTGTTATTATGTTTATAAACTTTTCAGTGGAGATAAACTCTCCTGATGTGTTTGCACAACACCTGGCACAGCTTGGCTTTGATCTTAGCTGCAATACTAATGTGCCGATACCGTTATTCAGCATTTAATACATTTGTAATTTCCCTCCCAGCTTTCAGAAATAATAGTCCAAAATTTATGCAGTGCTGCTTTTGTGGGAGCAAATTACTTAGAGGATATTCTGAAAATAAAATTGAATAATCCTTGTCAGTTAAGAGCCATGTTTTGATCTTAATGTATCTTCTCTAGACTATAAGAACATATGCATGTACAGTAACTTTTAAATATATTATTGTAAACAGTTGCCTTTCACAACTTTATTTTTGGTCTCTTTTGACAAAGAAGCTCACAAACCTCTGGAAGCCTTTACCCAAGTGTTTAGACTGTCTACTGACTCTGAAATCAGCAGCCAAGTTACAGCTCAGCTACTAGGTATAGGATTAATGCAGGAATTACTGGGTAAAAATTTGCAGGCTAGGGTTATGAAGGTGATTAGAATGGTCACTTCTGCGCTTCTAAATAATTACTTACAATCTAGAAATAACTTAAGATTTTTCACAATAGAAATAAGCTAGAAATTAGAGCTTTGCTAAAGGTCAGTATAATAAATGTCTTCTATGATGGTGTCGAGGTTTAACCCCCGCTGGCAATTAAGCACCACACAGCCCCATACTAGCTACCATGAAGAAAATTAACTCTACCACAGCCAAAACTAGCACAGATGGCTGGCAGCAGAATCAGCTGTAGTGTTCATAATTTGTGAACTATGCTGTTTAGCACAAGTTGAGGACTGAGAGAAGGGAAGGATTATCGTCACTGTCATCTAATGGAGATTAAGTCAATTGTCCAAGGTCACACAGGAAGTAAAATAAGACAGGGTGTCTCAAAGGTACAGATCAGTGGTTTAAACTTGTTCTTCCTGTCTGCTAAAATTTAAATATCCATAATAGCCAAAATTTTTTTTTTAAAATGTGAAAGAGAGAGAGTGTCATTGTCTTAGCTGCATGACATCCTGTGATGTACTTGCTTCTGTTGAGTATTAATTTTAAGAAGGTCTGTATTTTAGGAGGGAGAGGCTGGAGCAAGATCCCTTCATGCCACTTGAACATCTTTTTCTTAGGGAACTGGCTTTGAATAAAGATCGTAAAATTATTGCTAAAAAACTGGAAGCTTCTTAAGGGGTTTTATAATTACACGACAGGCAGCCACCCCTCTTTTTCATTCCTGGCCAGGGCTGTTGCTTGGTCCAAATCCAAATCCCGCTGGCTTTATTCATAGGGTTGCAGAACACTCCGTGAACAGTCACATGCAAATCACTACTCAGGCTGTCACAAAAAGAAGATTGTTTCATCCTCCATCCTCCCATCGTGTTGGCCAGCGCTCGCAGGAGCTGGAGCGAGGTGTTTCAGTGAATGGCTTGAGAGCAAAGGCGGCTCCTTGAGGGAGGGGTTATGAATTTGCCAGTTATCACCTGCACCTCTCCCTTAGGACTTGCAGCATCTCTCCTCCACGGGCACAAGCCCATAGCAACGCACCCGCACCCGACAGGGTTCAGCCATGGCGGGTGTGATCAAGTCGTCAATGCATCATCTTAGCATGCCGTGGGGTTTATGCCACCCCAGTCAGAGACAGGAGAGGAGAATTCTCTCCCACACTCACTATCTGCACATAAGTACAGGTCAATGATTTGTTTTCTGAGTGGATTTTTTTTAAAACTGTGAGGGAATTTAAATTTTCATGTAAAAATACGCTTTTTTTTCTAATCTTTTAGGCCAGATAAGAGAGAAACACAACTCTGGAAAGGTTTCTTTCCAACAAAACACTGGCACGTTTTAGTTAAAAAAGCAAAACAAATTTCTGCTGATTTGTTCATTCCTGTTTCTCCTACCCCACCGTTTTAGTACAATCCCTTAGTCTCACCTCACCAGCCTCCCAGCCAGTTTAACTCAGCTGCTTACATGAAATTAATGAAAATGAATCAGTCAAAATGCTTAAATACAGTACCAACCCCAAATCTCTATCCAGTAAACGAAGATCTTGCATGCAAATAAAAACTGTTACCAGTCCCTGGTTGTGTATACGTGAGTGTGTTAGTTTCTAGAGATCTTCCACTACTAGCCTTCAGCAGTGATCATGCAGGCTTTTCCAGCAGGACAGAGCCAGTGCTGGAGGGGAGCTGAGCAGGTACTGCTCCGTGCCTGCAGAGCTTCCTTCAGCTCATTTTGAGAGCCCACCATTATAAGCCATCCCGTGGAGGCACATGGCAGGGAGAGCATGTTGGCGTGATCCATCCCTGCAGCTGACCCAGCAAGCAACTAGCTGAGTTTAAATGCAGTTGTCGTAGCACGGTTGTTTTAAAATACTGTTGTAGTACCATTCTCTTGGCTGGAGAGTTTGTGTTTTCCTCAAGAATCCTGTGATTAAGGGACACGACAAAAAAAGCTATCATGTTTAATTCCTGTCACTCTAGCTGTAGAAGACAGTTCTTGCAGGGAAGTCCCTGTTAGAGACAATAATGGGAACCTTAAGAAATCTGCCAAGAAAACCTACCTATGCAGCTGTACCAAACCTGTCACAGCTTAGCTTTAGAATAATTATATTCAAATAATTCATTTCACATCTCTAAATATGGCTGGAAAGCAATAGAGAACAAGGATTGAAATCAACCCTTCAAGTATGTAAGAAAATTTAATTAATGCCAGAAAGGGCCATAGCAATTGGGAGGGTTCGATTAATACTTCTCATCTACATTTCTTGCTTTCCCAACATAAAATGTTTTTTAAATCACAACAGATTTTCTTGGAAAAAAAGAAAGTTTCATTTAATATTTCCACTGAAAAAAAGATATGATGAAAGTGTTTCAGTTAGAGCGTGGTGGTGGGGAATCCAGGAAACAAATACTGTTCCTCCCTTTTGTGTTAGACCATTTTGAAAAAAATTGTTTTAAGTAAGTATTTTAAAGAAAGTAGTATTTTTCTTAATTTCCATCTTTCAAGAAATGTTACAGCATCTGTTTCAGTCCCCTCTCATTACTATCATCAGTGTCTGCTTCTATAACAAAAGCTCACTCAAAGCAACAAATGCAGTTCTATATACAATGTGCATGTAGGGTTCAATACTTTGTGTGAAGGTAGCTGAGAAACTCTTAAGGTCCACAGACTCCCCATAGCAATAATTCATCACACAGGACTGGATAAGTAGGATAAGAAAAAAAGGATCTTTTTTTTTCCCCCCCAAAACTGACAAAAGATAGTTTTTACCTAAAAAAAAAAAAAAATCACATTTACCTAATAAAAAAAAAACATGAGAAAAAAAGACTCCTACTCAAAAATATCTATTTACAATCTGTGAACCAAATACTCATTTACTGTAGTTCCACTGAATTAATTACTTGTACCCATCGATGACCTGACCAGGAATTTGTGTTACTCAAGTCTACTTTAACAAAATTAAATACTACCTCTTTTCCAGTGGAGAGTTGCAAAGTAATAACAATTTCCCTGGTGATATGCTGTGAAAGTTGAAGTTTCCTGCACTTTGGCATCTCATGAAATTAAGAAACACTTGCACACACAAACCACAAGGTTCACACCTGAGCAATACCACTTGTCCTCCCTGGAACAGAAGAGCATGCTGCAGAGAACAGGCAAGCTACGTTACTTACAACTCAGGAAAGACCGGAATGCATGCGCACCCCTACTCCAGAGAGGTTGTTTTCATTTGGTATCAGATAAATCCCAATGGATAAATAAAAGGAAAAGAGGAAGGTCAAGACTACTCCTTGTCCCATCAAATCAACACAAATGGCTTTTGTGTTCGACAGAGTCAGAAGTTCACCCAAGGTTTTCAAACAGTGACGTTCTCCAGTGAGGCAATGAGGCCAGCTGTGAACAATAACAAGACCTGGACACAAATTTTGCAAAAGACAACAATTTTTTTAAAAGGATAAAATAAGAAGGCTCTAAAATAATTAAAAAAAAAAAAAGAAAAAAGAAAAAAAAGCACCTTTAGAAACAGAGCAGAATGGCTCAAAGCAAAGCAAGTTTGGTGTTGGAGAAAGCACAGTGCTATTGACCTTGGAAATCTACTGAAAACCAAGGCTCACATCTAGACACAGGTCTCTGGTGAAATGAACTGGGTAACCTCGGCTCAGTTTGGGGGTTTATGGTATGTGTGCGTGATAGTAACAGCATGATAGACCCTTCTTATGGGAAGCTCTGAAATGAGTGAGGGGAAAAGAGGGTCCCGACATAGAAATCCTTCCAGATTAGAGATTGCCAGGCAATCCAGTGTGAATGCAGAGATTTGCAAGCAGAGGGCAGTGTTTCATGCTAATAGTGCTAAGCAAGGGCTCATTCTTGAAGTGAATGCCTGGAAGAGTATTATAATGTCACTGTTGGCATTGAGAATCCTTGGGGAAGGTCAGCTGCAGTTTGAGTCCCTGGAGAGTTCTGCTGCTATGGGTTCCCTTAAACAAGACCTTCATTTGGCAGCATTTTGAAGGCACTGGAACGCCAGATGTTGTCCCAAGCATTGTTCCTAGAGAAGTTGGTCCATAGCTAGAAGTCAGAGCTCCTTTTACACATGATGGAGGAGTCATCTCAGTGGAGGTAGGTAGGTTGATTCCATCGGTACCAAGATCTGTTTGCAACACAGGGAATAAGAGCTACAATTGCCATGTTGTTGACGGTTTCCCTTGAAATAAAAATCATTATTATTCTATTCATAACCTCACTTCAACTTGGCAGCCAGCAAATGATCCTTTGCTCCTATAGGAAGCTCAGCAAAACCCCTGTCTTTCTAAGCAACATCTTCCATTGTGCTCGTGATTTTACGTACTACCAGGCTGTTGGACTTCCTCCGCATAAGAGGAGGTCTGATTTGTGGCACAGGATGATCCATGACTCAAAGCCCAGCAGCTATGGGAAACGCCCTCTGCTGCCTTCCTACTAACGCAGCATCCTTGATGCGACGTAGCAGAAACTACAAGTGCAGAGGCCTGAGCAGCAAAGACTGTGGTAGAGGCATGTTCAGTGAAATAACCAGAAGGGCTCTGAGCCTGTCTGTGCGGCTTAATGCTTTTGTAGAATCTAAAGGCAGGGCAGAGGAAAAATCTTTGTTCTTGTTTCATCTGCCGCTGTGGAATAGTTCCTCTGCAGCAGAGCTCTCTGGGAGGCACTGCAGGAGAGAAAACTGGCTGTGGAGGGGGTTATCCAAGCACAAACAGCAAAATAAGCTTTCCTTTGCTTCCTCCACACAAGGAGTTAGTTTAGGACAGTCCTTATGGCCAGTGTTTCTATTCAAGTTTTTGATTGTTTGTGGGTTTTTTTAACTTTTTTTTTTTAACCAGCACAGTTTTTCAGGCAAAACCTGATTTACTATTTGCATTCAATCAGAAAAACAACCATCTCCCAAGAAGCTTCACGTTAGGCATGAAGCTTCATGTAAGAACGTGCCACCAAGTAGCTCCAAATTGCTGGAGTCTCTAAGGGCTTGCACGTTCTTCTCTAAGGTCCCACCGCTTTTCTCCCAAACCCTCCGATGCCCTTGCCAAGGAGCAAGATGTGGGTTCCCGCTGCCTTACCCTGAAGAGTTGAAACCGGACGAGTTCATTGCAGCTTTGGAGTTGCTCTGAGCTGTGCCGGGGCTGCTGGCATGGAGTGCACTGCCAGGGGATGAGGGCCTGCTGGAGTTCCCTGGGGAACACGATGATGTTACTGTGTAGCAGAGAAAGCAGAATAAGGCTGGGATCTCCTTTTCCTGCCAGGGACAGACCAAGCTTGAACACTTCCACCATCTGGTACCCATCCTGTTGTTTATCTGACTGTTTGCCCTACAAGGCAGAATCTGTACCCCAGCCACAGAGACTGTGGGAGTCTCCAGGACTGCTTTCGTGTATAGCTTGTCTTCTATTTGTGTGAATCACACTTCTCAAAGGAGATCTGAAAATGTCCTGCTGAAGAAACACAGTAACCTACCCCCAAGCACTCCTCTTGTTTGGCTTCTAGGTGTGCCTGGCTCCCAAACCTAAACACCCCAGTAAAATTTGCCTAGGATTATCCTGAGAATGTTACCATGCCCAGGAAGCTTTCCATATCTTTGTTCCAGCCAAGAGAAAAGACTCTGCTGTTCTTGTCCCTTCTGCACTAGTTATGTGGGGATACTTTCCCTGGCCAAACCCAAGGGTCTTGTTAAGAGTGGCCTGCAAGCGTGACCTAGAAACCAAGTATCGAGAAAGCAAGAGCAGAGGAAGGAGGGAAGGAATGGTGAGTGAGGCAAGTTTCTCAAGGCTTACCAGTCCCAGGCATGGTGCTATGCACTGGATTGACGGAGAGGGGCCCCAAGGACCCTGAGGTAGAGACCTAGAGAGAAACAGAAGCAAACAGTAAGCACTTGGCACTGTGAGGGTATAGATCACAAAATGCTACTCCTTTCACATTCCCTGTAGAGTGTGCTGGTTCCCAGGCAGACTTCTTATCTGCATCTGAGGCTACATCTACATTTGATATATGCATCATATATTGCTATACATACTCTAGTGTAGAGGCACCATTCTCATATCCAGGGCCATACAAAGAAATCAGAAGGAGTATTACATACCCCTGACACTCTCTACACAGGTTTAAATTTATGGATCAGCTATGGAAAAGCCTGAAATTATCAGATGCAAGCCAAACTTTCTGGAAGTCCTGAGATCCCATTCATAGGAGCCACTGCCCTTTGGATGTTTCAGACTGGATGTTCCTAGTCAGAAACTTCCCAGCTCACTCTGGTCTTGGGCACAAATAATCCCTTCTCCTTTACAGAGTCCTTGATGGGTGAGAATTCTCAGGTGACAATTAGTGATTTGGTGGCTGCAATCAGAGCAAGCCTGGGGCATGTGTTGTTCAACTGTGATACTTTAACTACAGGCCACATGTTGCTCAGAACGACTGATGAGCAAAGGCATACTTTGTACAACGCGTTCACAGGAAAAGTATTCACCAAAGCTACCACTTTAAAAATTCATGGCTTGCAAGCAGCATGTTGTGTTTGTGACTGTAGACCAATGTGTTGTGCAAAAAGTGACCAAACCTCTTCTAATGTTTTCCTGCCTTCTGATGGATAATTCAAAAACCCAGAAGATTTGAAGATAAAACATTGCTTGTGAATATGTACTCTGCCTCCCACTCACATTTGTTCCAGCACTAACAACGCTGTAGGGAGGTTCCTGCCACTTTTATATGTGGAAACAACTATTAACTAGCAGAAAGGCAATAGTAGCTTGTTATCCACAGTAGCCACTGACTGCAGATTACAAGAACCTGCTTTCACCAACTCTCACGACAGTATCTCTTTTCCTCATCCCTTCCTGCCAATGAAAAGAGGCTTGCTAAAACGTGAATGTACGACAAAAGAAGGACAGCTAGCACTACTGAAGTGCATTCTGCCTTCCTGCACAGATGTAAAACAACAAACTGATATGTAAATGGTTACCATTAGGTTTCAGAGTTAACAACTAAATTGACCGGGGTGGATGTAATTCTCATTCCATGGAATGTTGATTCCTCTTCCATTAACTCTGAAAAGCTTTTATTTACCAATCTTAGGGTGAAAATTTTGGGGATAGCACCCCCATTTGGATAAATTATCCTACAATAAACTGACCTGTATCTTCTAGGAAACATATTTTCTTTCTGTTGTTTGCACTAATAGAAATCAAAAAAATGTTTTGTAGATGAGAGCATGAGATTTCATTCAAGTTGGGCTGTTGAGTATACGTCTGATCTGTGGCTAGCCCAACTGCCTTTGCACACATCTGCAGGTGTAGTCACCAACTGGACTGTGGAGTGGGATTGGGTGTACAAGGAAATGTCCTATCCCATTTCCTTTTCCAGCAAACCCTGCTGTATCCCCCCACCCTTTTCCCTTCTTGTGTGGGATGGCATGCAGAACTCCTTAATCCAAAGTCTCTCACCAGTCTGGAATTGTAGATAGGTGATTTAATGGGGGATGGCATTGGGCAGCTGATCCGTTTTTCCTTCTGGCGTCGGTTGCAGAACCAGACCCGAACCACCTCCTTCTCCATGGAGAGCTGCTCTGCTATCAAGGATATCTCCTCTGAACTGGGCTTGGGATTCTGCTAAGAAAGAGCAGGAGGTTAAAGAAAGCCCCAAAGAGCTGTAATTTACAGCATCAATGTATGCTTCTGCTGATGGAAAAGCAGAGGGCAAGTGTGCGGTTGGGCATAAACAGGTGATGGGAAAAAATTTGCTTCGAAGACAAAGGGTAAATATTTGGGTGAGAGATTATGTTCTGTGAACCAGAAAGTGCCTTTGATTCAACATCAAGTCTCATGGAATCAGTGGGCAATGAGTCACAGGACCTGGCCTTGTCATTGCATAAAGCACCATGCTATTTGCTCTTAACAGCACCCTAAATCATTGCTTGGAGGGAAGCTAATGACCGGTGGTCTTTTTGTCACTACACAGGACACAGGAGCTGTGAATGCTGTTTGTACGCCTACCTGCACCATCTCGGAAAAGCCACTTCTTCTCTTTCTTCCTCCTTCCCTCATTTATAAAGGGAAATAATAGTACCTATTCTTTCTTCTGACTCACTCATTTTCTGGTGCATTTGACAGCATTTAGCTCTATGGGTTTTGGTCAAAAATACCTAGCATGGAGATGTCAAGACAGTTTTCCCATTACAAAGAATGCCTCATACTAGTGAAAAGTGAGGTGCCCATAATAATTTGACAATGATTGTCTTTTGTTCTCATTAACAGTCTTAGGAGGAAATTTTGATATGATCAGATATGAGGTAGAAACCAAGAAAAAATGAGGGCTGGTCAAAAACTGTTTCAATGAAAAAATTTTCAAGGACAATTTAGTCCTACTGATTTAAAGCTCTGTTTGCACTCTGTAGTGATTTTTCTTGAAAATCTTGACACTTGAAAAGTAAAAGGCTTCGCTTCTGACATGATTCAGTAGCAATATGTGGAGCAATCAGTTCTGTGGTCTGACAAGACCTGCCTAATTAGGCATCAGTTTCTGTGCTGCACCATGGCCACAGTTCCCGTGACACACGTCCACAACTTCCAAAGAGAGGAGGTGGGTGCAGCTTCGACAAAGGCACTGATCAGTAGAAGGTAGTGGGGAGGTATGGGGATGAAACTAACTCCTCTAAAACGTTTGCCAAGGAAATAATTTCTTTGGTTTTGACACTTTTCCTGTTAATCCCTTCAAGCATTTTCTAACCTGTTATCAAAACAACCCAAAAAAAGATGTCTCTTTTGGAGGATTCAGTGCTACTCTGACCTAGTCAATGCCAAACTCAGAGAGAGTTCACAACACATTGAAAGATTTTCCCCTCACGTCTTGAAATCTTTTCTCCAGCGTGGAGCGAATGTTGGTCTCAATGCTGGTTCGCTTCTTTCTTTTCCGTCCAAACATCTCATTCACTGAGGGGTAGGAATTGGGAGTGCTCACGGAAGAATCCAAAGGAGCAGATTCTGGGGAAAGAGGGAAGGGAAACAGATATTCAGGAAGAGTTATTTTCATTCCTTGATCCTTTCTAGGAGCTATGGCACCTCCTAAAATAAGTAAAATGTTCCTACATTGTGGATCCTTCCTCTGATGATTATTAAAATTGCTCCAGCAATCCCAAATCCATCAATGATCTTGTCCAAATAAAGAAACAAAGTAGTGCTAAAATTTTAATCAACACACTATTTTTCCTTTTTCCAGCTTGACTTCCACCCTGCTCTGATGAGGACCACGCACTTTCCAATGATTTAATTCTACACAGTTAAAGATGTTGACTTATGCCACTGGGATCAGGCCTCATGTAGCTGAGACACCTCCTGACATAAATTGGTCAAACATGCAACTCCTGAAGGGCTGGGTGAAGCACGTCAAAGTAATGCCTCTTCTACAGTGGTTTGCAGCCAGCAGAGGACACCAGCCCAATCCTGCTCCCACTGGGGATTCGCCTTGCAGTGATATCTTCCTTTTTAATTACTGCCAATGGGCTGATCTCTGAGCACTTTCAGAGTCCCTTCCTACTCTTTCCAGTTTGCACAGGGAGGGACTGAAAAGACTAGCCCAGTGATTTGCCCCAGGCCATGCAAAAAAAAAAAAAAAAAAAAGAGAGATGATGCAGGAAAGGACTGCTCCAGACACCAATTGCAACACGAATCCCATATTGTCAGAGTGAAAGGACAGATGTGGTTTGATGTTTAGGCTGCTACACAACCTGCTGTGTGATCCACAGAGGAAAGCAGTCTGCTACCAGCCCAGTCACAGGTCTGAGAGGTCTTAGCTCCAGCTCCGATTTTCCTGGCTTTTATTGGAGGGTCCTGGATCGATCCTCTCACGTGCTGGCCAAGACTGGTGGTGTTTCTGCACGTAACATCACCTACCTGCATCACTCAGCCACTTCTCCAGCAGCGGTTTGAGCTTGCACATATTCTTAAAGCTCAGGTTGAGAGCCTCAAAGCGGGAAATGGTGGTCTGGCTGAAATCATTGCCATAGAGCTTCCCCATGGCAAGTCCAACGTCACCCTGCCAGAGAAGATCCAAACCATAACATGAGCTCAGAAAACACCCTCGCAGCTTCCTGCTGTCAGACCACCTCTCAGCTTGCTTCCAGAATAGGTTCAGCCTTGTTTCCATGAGCTGCCTTCCAAAGAAAGTGAATTCTTTTCCCACTAGTATCTGCCCCACACCCCTGAGCCTCTGTGTATCGAAGAAGCTGCAGATAATGAGGTCATGGTAATGAAGTATTAGGAAGGGTTTGTCTCTTCATGTGTTTGGAAGTGAACAAAGAAAGCCAAACTGTATTTAATCCAGTCCTTCTTCCATTCACACCTCTGCCACCAACTCCCCCAGCCCAACACGTCCACATCACAAGTGACACCACCCTTCCCACCGATGAGGCTGCTCACCTGTGTGAACCCCAGTTTGATTCGCCTTTGTTTGAAAGTCTTAGCAAACTTTTCCAGCTCCTCCAGGTCACTGGGCTCCTCAGACGCTCCTGATGGAGTTAGGTGCTTTGCCACTTGCAAATGCTGGGGTACGTCCAGGTGGGGTTCAACTGATGACCCAGGGAGTCCAGAACGGCCCACAGCCTGTTAAAACAATGAAAGAGATGCATAGAGTCACAACAATAAAAAAGCACAGAATTTTCTCTGCCATTTGCCCTGAATGAAGGAGCTCTTTTTGTAGATGGGGGCTTCTCAGGGTGGGACTATATGTTGAGGCAAATTACCTGTGATGCCAGGCTGGGTCCCGGCTGGGAGAGGAGAAGGCTGCCCTGTTGCTGAGGGAAGGAGAGGATGTTTGGCTGCAAAGCTGAGGAGAGAAAGAGATACATCTGATCAGATCAGCTCCTTCATCAGCACCTAGGCAGCTACATCACTATGCACAGACAGGGAAGGCTCACGAAGCTCTGAAAACATCAACATCAAAAGATGAGAATTTCGGCCATTACAAACGTGGACAGCTCCGAGTTGGACTATGAGAAAGGAAAGGGTCTTTTCACAGCTTTTTAGCCTGAAAGGGATTATCACAATAACGACATAGGTAAAATATCTCACACGCTGATCCCTTCATGTGGCTCATTAACCTGAGGTTGAACTAGGGCATAGACATTTTACATGGACATGTAACTTTGATACTAAATGCCAAGCAGCAGAGAATTTACTACATCCTCATTGGTGATCTCTTCCAGTGTTTAATCATTGTAGCTATTTAAAAAATGTGCATTTTATTTCCAATAGAATCTTTTCTGACTCCAACTTTCAGCCACTTGATCTTGTTAAAAAAATCCTGATCCTACAGTTAGCCTCATCAACCTACCCACTCTGCTTTCTACTATAGATTTCATTTTGAAGTGTCATTTTGAAGCCATCTGACCCTTTCCTTTCTACTCTACCGTATTTCAAATAAATTGAATTACTTTTGAAATATATAAACCAACACAAAACGATGAAAGGAAAACAGAAAGGAAATCTATAAAATTAACAAAACCTAGTGTTTATTGAGAGTGCATAATTGTTTAGTTGACAAACTGCCAAGTACAAGCCTGTATCTCTTACAGGGAACGTCCTAAAGGATTAAGCAGGGACCAAAGTAGTGTAGTTCCCTAGATATTTAATTGGGTTCTTCAAGTCTGTTGTGAGTGAAGGCTGTAAAATTTAGTCAGGATTTATAACCTTTCTAGAAACAGTCAATATATTCTATTGATGGTAAGTGACAGTTATAGGGCAAAGTATAGTAATTTATGACTTCTACTAAAAAAAAAAAAAAAAAAAGGAAAAAATATAATCTTCAGAATCATTCACTCCCCTCTCTCTCCCTTTCTGTCTTATCTTTTTTTAATTTAGATCTGAATGTGCAGGATCCCATTTATTTATTTAGATTGGTGCTTCAATAAACCTTCTCTAATGCTGGAACACCTTTGAATTTCAAATGCAGGCTGGTAATGAGGTGCACATTTTTAACAGTGAAGGTAATTAATCACTGGAATGGCTTGCCTAGGGACATGGCGGATGCTCTGTCATTTGGAGTCTTTAAAAATCATGATTGAACACCTTTGCGAAAGCTAAGCTCTAGCTGAAATGAAAATTATGGACTGGATTCAGGAATCACCGGTTTGACAGCTGATGAGACTGAGGCTGTGTTTTCGTAAGATTAAGACTTCAGCAGCAATATTTTGGCTGACAGTATTCTCAGCATCTACTTGGCTGCTTGTTCCCACCTTTACGGCACAGAGCTCTCAACCCATTAGCTGTTTGAAGGACTGCGCAATGAATCAGATCAGAGCATAATGAAACAGATCTGGGAAGTTATCTGGCTTAAAAACAGCTTTAAAACACGAAACCCAAACCAAAATCTATGTCCTCTTAGGAAGGTTAAGCCCACAGCCAACTCCCTTTGGCCGTGAAATCCATGAACGGATGTACCCATCAGTCAGAACTCAGGGAACATTGAGGGTGTTCCCATGGTAGCCCGAGGGGCAACCAGGAATATTTCATGCATCTCTTTGGTATGAGAAACACTCCATCTGTATCTGTACCAAGCAACTAATTCCACAAAACCAACTTGTGCCTTTGCTTTTGCTCCCCGTGGCTGTGCATGCACATGGTAAAGGGTCATTAAAATTTGAGAATCATCTATTTAAATGGAAGTGCTCTTGTACAAACTGCCAGCTACTGGCCAGAATATCCAGGCTTTATTAAGTCTGGAACCAAAAGGGGTCATGGCCAAACAAGTGACCATTTGTTGGAGGCGTCATAGCTGCCAAAGGAAGTCACTTAGCAGAAGAAACTAACTCTATAAAGGGAATCAAGTTCTGTTTTCCAGCGTAATGTGTTTCCTATTATGCACTAATAAAAGCAGGCAGTAAGCAATAGATTATCTTGACCCTGGCATTTTAAACAAACTAAATTCTAGATTATTGTTAAATATACACCAAGTAGCTTCTTTATGCATCATTCAGCCTCATTTGTCAGAGAGAAGATCTTACATACTGTCAATGAGAAGTAGGTTTCCCACTTGCCTATAATATACCATGTTAGTTTTGTTTTGAAGCATGTGCATCATTGTATTCAAGCTGCAGAGATTTTAAGGTTTTAATTCTGAATTTTCATTCATTCGGAAGTCAATCAAGAACGTGAGCAAAGGACCAAAATCCCTTTGCATCTGTCAGGTTGTGGTTTGTCTGTCCACACACAGCATGAAACTTCATCAACGGCATGCCTGTATCCCTGTCGTTGGAGAAATGCCATAAAAAAATATCGGCAGTAAAAACAGAAGCACAGGGACTTTCTCAAGCACCGAGTTCAGTCCTCAGTCCTTTCATCCCTTTCGCAAAGCTGATTACACTGTTTCAGAAGTCGTTAGACCTCCTGTCCTCTCCTGCCCCACGGCTTGGAGCAAGATTTGGGAACAACCACCGGCAACTGCAAACCTCTCGGCTCTCATCCCCCAGTCGCTCCTGGCTAGGTTGGACCTGTTTGTTCTAGCGCCAGCACCGTCCTTCCGCCAGAGCCGCTCAGCTCTTCCCTGGATTTACTCTCCCTCTAAGGTACCGAGAGAGAATCACTCAACTCCTCATCAGTTTTCTGGAAGGAGCGGAGAGCTCCTTCCCGAGGAGCAGGATCCCTGCTGGGCGCCCCGGCGCTGTCCCGGCTCCCGGCCCCAAGGTGGCGCGCTCGGCGCGGGGCCGGGAGCGGTTCCGGAATCGGGCCCTTCCCGGGAACATCCAGCTGCGGGAACCGGCACAGCGGGAAGTGCAGAGGAGAAGGCACCTGGTGGCGTAGCAGGGGGACAGACACCATCATGCTGGGAAAACGTGACAGACCGGATTAGGGCAAGAGTCAGGAGAGGGGAGGTTTTTCCTGGCTCCGTATCTGCTTGGAACAATGCCCCTTTCAGCTTTTATTCCTCTTACCTTGTTGCCCGGCCTGAGACTGAGACAGAAGAAACTGAGGAACTGACTGCATGTGACCGGGAAGCAATACAAGCTGCTGCAGGGTGTGAAGAGAGCTCATATCCTATGGGAAAAGCAAAAAGGGAATGACAAAACTCAGAGACGCTTTTCACACAGCGTCACCTCTCCTATACAGCTACTCTGCTCCCTGCTCTTTTATACTGTTCTCAACCCAGTTCACACTTCTCGTTTAACTGCCAACACGCCACATTTGTGTAATTCATGCACTGGAGAGCCACAGATCCAGAGGTGCTCCAGGATCTGAAGTTTTCAGCTGTATGAGAAGAACTGTGCACACAGACATTCACATGGAGAGCTGTCTACCTATATCTGAAAAAGTTAGTTCTTGAAAATGATGTTTTTGAGGCACTGGCAATCAAAACTGGGTTGTTAGAAGTAATGGTGAAACCTTTTCAATTTCAGTTTCATCCAGATAACATATTTTCTGAGAGTGAACTCCCTAAAATTACACAGGAAAGCACAGCTGACTGTCTCACCTCATGAATGCAGAGAGCCTACTTTCCACAGAAGGCTGATTTCCCAGCCACCTGTGTGCTGAGACAGGAAAGAAGAAATGCCCAGCAGATTCTTCACACCGACAGCAAATGCATTGCAATGGACACAGCCACCAGATCCAAAAATATTTCCTGTTCTTTGCCAGGAATTCCCCACTCTGCATTGAGCAGAGCAGGCAACAGGTGCTGAGAAATGAGGATTACATCCCAATGCTCTTTCGCATTACTGGGGTCCCAGCCTCAGGTCTTCTGTTGGGATTAGGGGATAAGAGTTTGCTTTTGCTTGGGATAGACACCAAAAAAAAAAAAAAAAGCCCCAGTAAGACCAACTCTCTTTAAGGTACCTTTTTATAGGAACTCATTACTCAATAAGATGAGCTCTTTGAGCTTCTCAAGAACTGTTTTGAAATTTTCAGGAAATTGAACAGTCCCTGAATTGCTTAAGGGATCCGAATACCCCGCAAAAGAATGAGGGAAGAGGCCACCGAGCAGCTCTGTGGCCTTCTGGCATCTAACTCCTACTAGAATTTAACAAGAGTTAAGTGCCAAACTCCAATTTTTAATCTTAAAGAAAAAAAAAATCCCTCAAGGAATAAATTTCTTCTCTAGTGAATTTGAACCGATATATTCAAGGATGGCTATACTGGCTCAGATCAAGAGTTAATCTAGCCTAGAATCCTATCTCCAACAATGGCATTAAGCAGACATTCATGAAAGAGGAAGACCAGGTCAAGCACATCTAACACTTCCCCTGGGTGTTGTCTCAGCCTCCCATTATTTTCAATTCAAGGGATTTCCCAGGCACAATGTGGTTTGTCTGCCTAGTAAACCCTCAAAGGAAATCTCTTCCAAGTACGTATCCAGTCTACCTTTGAACACGTAAAACTTTCTGCAGAAAAGAAAGAGGCTGAGGAGGAAGCTGACTTTTGCCAACACAGATTCACTTTCCCAATTTAGTGTCCATCATGTACTCAAGTCTCCTTTTGCCGCTGTAAATAGGAATAGGTAATTTGGCAAGTTTCTCAAAACCTGCCTCTTCTCTGGAGGTTCACAGACCACTGCCGTTTCAGTCTCCCACATCCCTGAAGCAGCAAAGTCACTTACCCCCGCGATTTGGCTTCCAGGCATCATTGATGATCCCTGCACAAGGTGACCTGACCTAGGAGGGATTGCAGATTGCAAGGAGTCGCTGAGGTCTTCGGTTTTAATCTGAAAAAGAGCAAAGTAATTGCAGCATTACGGAGCAGAGACAAGGGGATGCAGGAGGTGTGGGGTGGCCAGGAGCCTGAGAGGCTGGAAGGGATCGGGAATGGCTTCTGTCAGAGAAAAGTTAGAGGTCAGAACTCACTGCTTACATCTCTGGCTTTGCAGAAAGGCATGGTCATTCCCCACTTCTGCTCTCCAGTTTATAACATGGACATAGTTTTCCTGCTCTGCCAAGTCAAGGGAGGCTTGCAGTTTGGTCAATTAAAGCAAATTAATTAAAATACTTTAGGAAAGTAACTAAGTTCCAGTGACTTAGCAAAGTTTAAGGCACGTGAGTGCTTTCCTCGGACAAAACACTGAGGCATTTTGTGGAGTTACAAGGAAGACACGAAGCAATTCTCCTCTATAGATCACGACTCGCAACCTGATGGTGGGGTTGGCTATAGATGGCCTCTCATTTTTGTTCTCCAGGTGGCGGAGAAGAGCACAAGGGGATGGGAAAGGAAAGGTCACGAAGTAAAAGACCACAAAAAGCAGCATAATCTTCCAGACTTGAAAATGCAGCACCCCAGGCACCAAACATTTTTGCTCAGCTTCTACCAGAAAGCAACAAGAAATCGTACTGGTCTGGCAAGGAAAAATCTGCTTCCTTAGAATAAGCTGTGGAAAAAGACCTGCACTTTTTCACAGGTGACAGCCCTTTGTCCAGTGGTCATTTTGTCCTCCTTTTATGTTGAAGAAAGACTCCTCTTTAGGAAAAAAATCATGATTTCTGAGTCCATGTTCTTAAGAGAAGAATTTACCCAGGGTCCAGAATGAATCCTTGTGTCTGGTTTATTCCATAGTCTCCATGTTAATTTCTAACATTGCTACTACATTTAAAACAGCAAACAAAAACCTGTTACATCACTTTGTACTAGCCAAAATCCTTTGGGAAAGGTGACTGGGACAGAAGAGAGGGGAATCTGGTTGGGGAAATTTTAGAAGTTTTTTTTAGGTTAATTCCTGAAAGCTCTCTGAGGAGTGTCTATGTGCAGATGCCACACACAGGAGACAGAAAAGTCATACAGAGCTTTTATAACGCGTTTTCTCTAAGTAAAAATCTATGCAAAAAATTTCCAAACTTAGGTTCAAGTTTTTCCTGAGTCTGAGAGTGGCTGCAACAATGCTCACATCATCAGTCCCATTCCTCATCTAAGCCTTTCCAATGCAAGAACAGGCTCCAGTTTCTACAAACTGGAAGAATGAGGAAGACACCAGAAAGGACAGGGCTTGAAAACCCTGTCCATGGGCTCAGCATTGCAGATTCACTCTTACTACTAGAGCTGAACCTCACCTTCTCCCATCAAGTACTCTCGAGCCCAATTTCCCCCAGAAGTCAAGCGGGGTTGCGTTTGCCAGGGTTTTGCAGTGCTGATGTGGCCTTTAGGTCCTACAGCCTCCTACCAGCAGAGGGGGGTAAGAAATTCAGCTTTCAAAACTAATGGCCCAACCGAGTATTTTTGGTTGAGGAAGGTTTTATTTCAATTTGACTAAAGCAAACAAACACACAAAATCTCCGTAAGAGCAAAGGAGAAAATGTGATCCCAACAGGCTCAGAGCTGCCGTGCAGGGAGCCGGCCTTGTAACGTTAATCTCTGCATTTTGGAAGGTGCTATGCAGAGGGCAGAGAATTACACCATCTCCTTTCATTAAACTATAGCTCTGGACACTGCCGAAACTAATTGTGCAATAATACTAGCTCCTTGCAACAAGAGTCATACATGCTGTGAATTCCAGTTCTTTCCTACCTTTCAGGTTGGCATGATCATCCCTCTTAGCCGGGCGGAAAAAATCAGATGGCAAAGATCTTCTTGATCACTATCAATGCGGATAGTGTCTAAGTTATTAAATGTTAGCCAAAAGGCTCAGGAGAGTGCACCGTTATCCCTGAGCCATGCAGTCACTGCAGGCAAACAGTTTTATGCATGTTTTTCTTTCTGAGGGGGCATTAAAAAAAAGTGTCATCGGAGCCAAAAAGTAAAAATAAGAATAAAAAGAAAATGAATTACCCCTGCTTGCAATTCATGTGTGTATGCCTCACACAATGCAGTCATCCACGTCTGAACAGTCCCAAAGAGAAAAGTTATATGCGTCTTAGAGAATGAGGCTCTTGATTCCGCCTAAGTTACGATCCCAATAGGAGTGGAGTGTTGAAGAAGCACAAGCCATTTCCAAACTGAAATCAATTTTTACAGCTGCCAAGCGGAATGATTTGGAAGCATTCCAGGGTGAAAGGGGTGTGTAGCTGCATCCCGGCATCGCACAATATGAGAACGGGAGGTGGGTTTGGCAAAGGACCGGTTCCAGATTTGAAAACAACAACATCTCCCACTGCTCCTTCCCCCGTCCCTGGAATTCTCTGCTCCCTCCTGCGCAGTGGGCGGGAACCTGAGTGTTCTTGACAAATCCTTCTCCCCTGCACCTATTTTCATTGGGTTTAGGCTCAAATTTACCTCTACCTCCTCTTCCTCTCCCCAACAGGCCTGCAGCTGGCTAATTGTTCATTAGCAAGAGTTCAGGGTATATCCAAAACTTTTGGGATGGTTTATGCAAATCCTGCACCTTCATTTTTTCCCTGGCCAAACCGGCAGTATTACCAACTATACATTAAAAAAACCAAAACCAAAAACCCCAAAAAACCACACACGTTGTGGGCGAGGCCACTCAATATCATAAGACTCCCTTAAAATAATGTAAATTTCAAATTAATAAATCAAGGGGAGGAGTTGCCTTCTCCTTTCCCAGTGCATCCAACTCATATTTGCTAGAATTTACTGCAAATATGAGAAGTTTTCTTTAAGGAACTTAAAAAGGTTGAAATGGTCACAGAATCACCTCGTGCAGGTTCTCAATGAGAACCCAGCTAAAACACGGCAAGTGAGCAACAGTGGTTTTGTGAAACCCAGGACCAGTCCCCACTGTGGATCCTCAAGACCACGGTTTCCCACGACAATCAGGACAGACGGGGAATGGGAAAGAAGTCGTCACTGGGAGCAAACCTAAGCTCCTCCCAGCGAGGTGACGGCAGGTGGCGGCACCAGTACATGGAGCTGCCTTGGCCTTCTCCTGGCTGGAAGGAATCGCACTTGCAAATCTCAAGTGGATGTTTTCACAGCCTTAAAATAGGGTCAGCTGCCCCCAAGCAATCAGAGTGAAAAACACAGGAAGGGTGACTGGATGGAAAGAGAGTCCTTTCCTTAGTTGGCTAGCACATCTGCTGGGGCTGGCCAAGGATGGATTGTTTCTTACCTATCTCTGGCCTAAAAACAAAAACAAAAAGCAAAACAAACTAAGAAACATATTGAGGGCGATGGAAAATGATCAAAGCTCTTCAGCTTGCTTGCGTAACCGATTTGTGGAAGGTGTTTCATAAACATTTCATAAGAAGGAGAATTATGAAGAAAACATCTCCCAACCTGCCTGCAATTACTGCACAAACTCTTCCTTACCAGTAGGAAGACGGGAGGAAAAAAAAAAAAAAAGTACATCTGTTTTGTAACTGATCTGTGAACTTTTGGCAAACGTTTGGCTCATGAAAACATCCTGCAGACATATTGCAAAGCTGTAAAAAGCCAGCCTTATATGAGGAAGTTGGAAAGATTCACCTTAGCAGCTGTGATTTCACCATATGGAAGGCCATACTCTTCTGACAAACTGACCAACCCACATTTGGTGCAATGGACTGACGGTCGGATCCCATTGGTTGGGCAGGACTCTGCCTGCAGCTCTCCTTGTCTAACCCCATCTTAGGGTCACTGCTCATTGGTAATGTGAATTGGTCTTCCTTGTCCATTAGACGCCAAAATAGATGGCCCGAATGCAGCCCCAAGCCACTTCTTCTTGATGAGCACTTCTGATGTAACGTAAGCAACGCTCTGTCATCCTCTTCACAAAGGTGGGACCCACTGACTGATTCAGCATCCAGAGCCTCAGATGCTTTCCCCAGATCTGTGTACGAGATCCTTGTACTCTGCCAGAGCGAGGCTGTTAAAGCCATGCCAGCCTTCCGCCGTATCAGTTATTAGGCAGGAACAGCAGTCATTAAAGACAGAAGACAATCACATTTCTTGTGCAGTTTCTATTTAGACGGTAACCTCTTTGAAACAGATGTTTATCTGCCTTCGTATCTGGCTTATCTCATAGTCAGCAACTCACAACTATTTAAGAGTTTGACTTACTCACATCCCTGCCTCTCTCCATTGCAGAGTGGTAAGACTATTTGATAGAAGAAGTATCAGGTGCACATGTAAGGCGTAAGAGGATCTGCACCAATTCCAATTGCCCCTCGCTGAGAATGTACGGCATGGTTCTTCCAGGGCTGAATCACTCCCAAAGCGCTATTCAATACAACAGGGCTGTCTGAAGCTGCCCCAAAGTGATTTGCCTGAAGTCAAGGGAAGAAGTTTTATGATGGAAACAGGTATCAAAACTGGATCCAAGACTATTGCAGTTAACTAAGCCTTCCTACCTTCCAATGACGTAAGCGTACTTCTCTGTGAATTACCTGCACACGTGGGCATCATAAAATAAAAAAAAACACACTAATAATAAATTATAGCAATAATAATAATGGGCTTGCAATTACTATTTCCACATGTACTATCCTGCACATACGGCAAGGCTTAACAGACACACAGAAAGAAAGCAGAAAACCCTTATGTCAATGCAACGATATTCACCCTATAACACTTGATATCCTTTCACACCGAAGGGTGGGATTTTTCAGAAGCTGTCAGCAGGACAAAAGGGGAGTTAATCCCATGCTGAATGCCTGACAGACTGTACCCTAAAACTCAGTACTGACAGCACACTGAAAAATTAAAATGTAATCCCTAACCTCAACACACCTGCATCACAGCTGTATGAGGCCTTTGAGTTTATTAATTGAAGCCTGATCAGATATGCTTTATCCTCTGAGCTTCAGCTCAGGACGTTAATGGTTGTGCCATAGCTGTAGTAAA